TAGTGACTATAATGCTCTATTTGGTAGGAAGGATGAAAAGTAGAAGAGATACATTTTCTATCCTTCAACTTCAAGGATGGAAAGTATGAATGATACACTTTTTTTCCTTTGTGTTTGGTTGAATGGATGGAAAATAAAAATGACCAATTTTTTTTTTTAATTTATTTTGTGATGGCTAAGATTAGGATTGACAATCAAGTCATGTTATATCAGATTCGCATTGAGTAATAAAATTATGAGTCTTTTATATTTCTTGTTCGTGTGTCAGGTCATTTTCAAGTTCGTGTCGAGTTATAATCAAGTTCGTGTCGAGTTATAATCAAGTTCGTGTCATAAAATTTGTGTCGAGTTCGAGTCATGTCATCATGTTGAGTCAAAAATTTTCACCCATAGTTAAAATAAAATAAAAAAATTTATTTAAAATTTTTTTTTTTTTAATTTTTATTTTATATATATATATATATATTTATATATATATATATATATACACATTTTATCATTATATTTTTATATAAAATTAATGTATACATAATATATATAGACAAATAAAATACATCTCAACACAAATAATTAATTTTCTATCAACTTTCTTTCCGATTTTGAAGAGATTGATTTTTGTGAGTTAGAAAGAAAGTTAATTCATCCATTTTTTCATCATTCCTACTCTTCTTTCTTATCAAATATGATGTTTTATTTATCTCTCCAATTTTCTATTCTTCTAATTTTTCATCATTTCATTTTTCTATCGTGCCGAACAGAGCAAAAAAAATGCTCACAAAGTAAGAACTACGCAAGTGCTGCAACCAAGACCAGACTGAAAGTAACGGAGGAATTGATATATTGAATTCTCATGGCTTCCCTGTATATATACCTATACAATTGTTTTGCCTGTAAAGCATTTACAAAGAAATATTCTAACTAATCCTAAATCAATGGTGAAATTAATTCTGGTAAGCTGTACAAAATATATGACAAAAATGAAAAAGAAAAACTTCTCCGATCAATCAAAAATGATCCTTTCGTTTTCTTTTCTTGCAGATTCTTATGATCCCAACTTCCTTCTAAAGATTATGGTCCAAGTTGACAGTGCTGAATAGACAGACCCTTCATCCTTAACAGGAAGTTTTGTTGGCAATTACTTCTCTTGTTCTTCATATTTCAACAATGACATTGTATGCTTAAACATAATATAAGAAAAAAATTTAAAATAAAAATTTTTAAAAAAATTTAAAAAGTAAAAAATATCGGTAACACCGTATATTTAAACATAATATAAGAAAAAAATTCAAAATCAATTTTTTTTAAAAAAAATTTAAAAAATTAAAAAAAAATTTGTTGACACCATACGATTAAAAATAATATAAAAAAATAAAAATCAAATTTTTTTAAAAAAAATTAATAAAATTGAAAAACAAAAAACCGTTGGTGGCCAAATCCTATAATAACATTAAAGGCCAAAGAGTAATTTGGTCATTAATCTCCTTAATACCATTGGTGGCAAAATCTAAAAAATAATACCACCTCCTAGATGGGTATAGATGGTATAATATATACCCATCTACATCGGTTTATGAATACTGTAGTTGGAGGGTTAGTATTGCAACCTAAAAAATAGAACAAGACTAAGCAATGCAAACAAACAAGATACTATAGGGCCACACGTTCTATTTCACCTTCTTATACCACCATTATGCTTAAAAATAAAATGCCCGTTTAGATATAGAGAAAAGAGGTATAAGCAAAACCTTAAGCACATAAATCTATAGCGAGATTGATACTCTTTTCTTAGCTTGAAATTAGTTATATACGTTTGTGTGTGTATGCTTCAATTTTTTTCTCATCGAACCTTTTGGAACGACGTCTTGAAATATGGAATGTATTTGCAATAGCTTATCCCACTGAATGTTGTTATGCATTTGGGAAGAGAAAAAATGACATTTTTTTTTGGTAAAAGGGACTTAAAAAAGCATTAAATAATACACATCAGTCTTGGGTAACAGACACCCATAGCANAATAGCTTATCCCACTGAATGTTGTTATGCATTTGGGAAGAGAAAAAATGACATTTTTTTTTGGTAAAAGAGACTTAAAAAAGCATTAAATAATACACATCAGTCTTGGGTAACAGACACCCATAGCATCAGCATTAAGCTGTTCTTTAATACAATCAATAGCATTAACAAAAACATGGCATCCTTCTCCAGACTGAACACCCTTCTTTGCCAGCAGATCAACACTCCTGCTAGTTTCCCTCATTTCCTGATTTAAATTGGTCTCTTGGAATTGTCCCAGTAGCCACCTGCAGTCATTAATTACAGGGCTATAATTGTGATGTTGTGTATCTTGATTTTGCACCAGCTAAAGGACTAGTCTAGCATCCACACTCCTAGCCTTTGTATTACATGCTGTCTTACAGTGCTTAGCCCCCTTTCTTAAAGCCCACAATTCAGCAGCCAAGCTTGTAGTTATCCCAATTTTCTTGTAAAAACCCACCACCAGCCTTCCTGTGTTATTACGGATAACTCTTCCTACCCCAGCAGGTCCCGGGTTTCCTTGGGCAGCACCATCTGTGTTCAATTTAACCCAACCAGATGACGGGGGCTTCCAGCCAAGTAATGCTTCAGATCTTATGGGCCTGGTGTTATGACTGTGGAGGTGATAATATTTAGCGGCTCTACCTAAGGCTTGTTGAGTGATTTTCCCCGTAGGTGTTGTTTTATTGAAAAACACCCACTAGTTTCAATGGTACCATATACTGGCACAAGTGTAAAGGAAAAGAGTTGTCCATGAAATATTTTTTTAGTGGGTAAGGTTGTTAGATATCCCATTTACTTTCATCCATGTTTCCAGTGACTCATTGAAGGTATGGAGGAGAGTGTTGGGAACCCAGTTTAGTCCAAATCCCTTTGGCTAGGTCACATTTCATCAGAACATGGCTTGTGTCCTCTATTTCTTGTTGGCAAATTGGGCATGTTTGGTCATTCACAACTTTACGGGTATACATCACACGTTTGGTAGCTAGTCTGTCTAGACAAGCTAGCCACAAAAAGTGTTGTATCCTTGGGCATGTTAATGTTTTCCAAATCCAACTCCATTGTGCCCTAGTTTAAACTCACTTGGATTATCCTGTGCTAGCTCATATGCTGACTTAGATTCAAGAATCCTTGAGGCCTTAGGTCCCCATGCCCATGTATCCTACCGCTCAAGGTGAACTTGGATGCGTGTGGCTTTAATTATTTCAGTTATTTCATGTGGTATAGGGTATGGTATACTCTCAAAATCCCATCCCCGTCCCTGATTAAGCTTATGTCTTACATACTGACACTCCTCCCCCTCTGGAAGTGGCCCCTGAAGCATTCTCCTAAGTCTATCTGTCCCAACCAATTATCAAACCAGAAACTTGTCGTTTGACCGTTGTGGACATTCCATTTAATTCCATTATAGAGGAGATTCCTCCCTTCTTTCATGCTTGACCAGACATAAGAATGGGTCTTCCTCTTTTCATTTCCCTCCCTATCTAGGTATTTAGCTTCAAGGGTTCTAGTCCACATTTTATCTCTGTCTTTTAGAAGTCTCCAATTGAGTTTGACCATGGCTACCTTGTTCCTCAACCCCACCTGTTTGAGGCCAAATCCCCCTGATTTTTTGGGTTTAGTCACCTGACCCCAATTAACAAGATGCATTTTCCTTCTTTCATCAGTGGACTCCCACAGAAAGTTCCTATTTATTTTATCAAGCTCCTCACATTCTTTTCTTGGAATTTTGATGGTCTGCATATAGTATTGTGGAATGACAGAAGTCACATAGTTAATCAAGGTTGCCCTACCTGGAAGTGAAAGAAGTTTGGCTTTCCACCCCCACTTAGTTTATTTCTGACTTTTTCAGTAAGGAATTAGAAGTTTCTGGATGTGGTCATTGGTAGCAGGAATCCCTAAGATCTCAATCCATCTTTGGACATCATCTGGACCACAATTAGGTGAGAAATATACTTTAGATTTTTGGTCACTTATGCTTTGTCCTGATCTTTGGCAAAATGCCTCAAGTCTCTCTTTAATACATTGACAGTTCTCATCAGATGTCTCTCCAAACAAGAGGAGGTCATCTGCAAACATCACATGTGAAATTTTAAATCCCCCTCTACCTACCTGAAAGGGTTTCCAGTGACCCTCCTCCACAGCCCTTTCAATCGAGTAAGATAGAGTATTCATGCACAAAATGAATAGGTAGGGAGACAAGGGGTCACCTCGTCTTACCCCTCTTTGAGCTTTAGTCTACTCGGTAGGGCTTCCATTCAAAAGCACAACAAACTGTGTTGATCTAACACATGTCATGATGATATTCCTAATTTTTTGAGGGCAGTTGACTTCTTTTAAGACTTTTGCAAGGAAACTCCATTGCAGTTTGTCATAGGCTTTTTCAAAATTAATTTTAATGGCCATACTACCATTTTTACCTTTCTTTTTGGTCATGGTGTGGACAATTTCCTATGCAATGATTATATTATCAATTCCTTGCCTCCTCGGAACAAAACTGGCTTGCAATGGATGAATTAGCTCACTCAGTAAGGGTCTCAATCTATTGACAAGAATTTTGGCCAATACTTTGTAAGCTGTGTTACATAGACTGATGGGTCTATACTGGTTCAGGCTTTGTGGATTCTGGATCTTTGGGATGAGACACACGAGGGTTTTGGTAATATCAGCATTGATTAACTCTGTTTCAAAAACTTGCTCAATGAACCTTTTGACACCTTGTCCTACAATACTCCACTGTTTCTTGGTAGAAAACAGCATGAAACCCACCCGGCCCAGGTCCCTTCCTGGGTTTCAACTGCCATACAACATTTTTAATCTCAGTCATGTCAGGAGTTCTAATGAGGCTGCCTATGTCATTTTCATTAATGGAATTAATCACAGGCCAAACAAAATCATCATGAATATCCCTATGCTCATTCTATGGTGCAAAAATATTCCTAAAATGTTCAGCCACCATCATCCTAATGTCCCCTTGTTTTNCCCAAGATAACCTGAGTAAAGCAACTGATGTTGTTTTGCCAAAGAGTAAAGGGGCAGATTATACTTACCTAATTTCTGAGGCCAAGGCTCAGTCCCAAACACAGTCTTTGGACGGCTTTGCCTCCTTCGATGATTCTATTAGTGGTATGTAATTTTATTTTAGAATGCTTGTGTGAAAGTTTTGATGAGTTATTTTATTAGGGATTGACTTCAATTTTTTCTTAGATTTCTATCAGGGAGTGGGTTCTTTACTTTCTATCAAAGGGCAGAGCCTATTATCATGGAATGCAGATGATAATTTCATAGGAGAGGATAAAGCAACTTCAAGTCGTGAAGTAAGTTGTTTATGATGTTTTATAATCTTTCATTTGATGGGTCTAAATTATGAAAATGGAAGGAATGTAAGAATCTAGAATACTAATGCAATATCGCCTACATACTTATTGGTTATCCACATCTTAGGATTTATCTGATTGCTCTAATGCAGCAAAGTGTACAAGGCCAAAATTTTGTGCTTATATGTTCTTCTGGTCATTTTGATTACAATCAGGCACCTTTTTTTGNCATCAGCATTAAGCTGTTCTTTAATACAATCAATAGCATTAACAAAAACATGGCATCCTTCTCCAGACTGAACACCCTTCTTTGCCAGCAGATCAACACTCCTGCTAGTTTCCCTCATTTCCTGATTTAAATTGGTCTCTTGGAATTGTCCCAGTAGCCACCTGCAGTCATTAATTACAGGGCTATAATTGTGATGTTGTGTATCTTGATTTTGCACCAGCTAAAGGACTAGTCTAGCATCCACACTCCTAGCCTTTGTATTACATGCTGTCTTACAGTGCTTAGCCCCCTTTCTTAAAGCCCACAATTCAGCAGCCAAGCTTGTAGTTATCCCAATTTTCTTGTAAAAACCCACCACCAGCCTTCCTGTGTTATTACGGATAACTCTTCCTACCCCAGCAGGTCCCGGGTTTCCTTGGGCAGCACCATCTGTGTTCAATTTAACCCAACCAGATGACGGGGGCTTCCAGCCAAGTAATGCTTCAGATCTTATGGGCCTGGTGTTATGACTGTGGAGGTGATAATATTTAGCGGCTCTACCTAAGGCTTGTTGAGTGATTTTCCCCGTAGGTGTTGTTTTATTGAAAAACACCCACTAGTTTCAATGGTACCATATACTGGCACAAGTGTAAAGGAAAAGAGTTGTCCATGAAATATTTTTTTAGTGGGTAAGGTTGTTAGATATCCCATTTACTTTCATCCATGTTTCCAGTGACTCATTGAAGGTATGGAGGAGAGTGTTGGGAACCCAGTTTAGTCCAAATCCCTTTGGCTAGGTCACATTTCATCAGAACATGGCTTGTGTCCTCTATTTCTTGTTGGCAAATTGGGCATGTTTGGTCATTCACAACTTTACGGGTATACATCACACGTTTGGTAGCTAGTCTGTCTAGACAAGCTAGCCACAAAAAGTGTTGTATCCTTGGGCATGTTAATGTTTTCCAAATCCAACTCCATTGTGCCCTAGTTTAAACTCACTTGGATTATCCTGTGCTAGCTCATATGCTGACTTAGATTCAAGAATCCTTGAGGCCTTAGGTCCCCATGCCCATGTATCCTACCGCTCAAGGTGAACTTGGATGCGTGTGGCTTTAATTATTTCAGTTATTTCATGTGGTATAGGGTATGGTATACTCTCAAAATCCCATCCCCGTCCCTGATTAAGCTTATGTCTTACATACTGACACTCCTCCCCCTCTGGAAGTGGCCCCTGAAGCATTCTCCTAAGTCTATCTGTCCCAACCAATTATCAAACCAGAAACTTGTCGTTTGACCGTTGTGGACATTCCATTTAATTCCATTATAGAGGAGATTCCTCCCTTCTTTCATGCTTGACCAGACATAAGAATGGGTCTTCCTCTTTTCATTTCCCTCCCTATCTAGGTATTTAGCTTCAAGGGTTCTAGTCCACATTTTATCTCTGTCTTTTAGAAGTCTCCAATTGAGTTTGACCATGGCTACCTTGTTCCTCAACCCCACCTGTTTGAGGCCAAATCCCCCTGATTTTTTGGGTTTAGTCACCTGACCCCAATTAACAAGATGCATTTTCCTTCTTTCATCAGTGGACTCCCACAGAAAGTTCCTATTTATTTTATCAAGCTCCTCACATTCTTTTCTTGGAATTTTGATGGTCTGCATATAGTATTGTGGAATGACAGAAGTCACATAGTTAATCAAGGTTGCCCTACCTGGAAGTGAAAGAAGTTTGGCTTTCCACCCCCACTTAGTTTATTTCTGACTTTTTCAGTAAGGAATTAGAAGTTTCTGGATGTGGTCATTGGTAGCAGGAATCCCTAAGATCTCAATCCATCTTTGGACATCATCTGGACCACAATTAGGTGAGAAATATACTTTAGATTTTTGGTCACTTATGCTTTGTCCTGATCTTTGGCAAAATGCCTCAAGTCTCTCTTTAATACATTGACAGTTCTCATCAGATGTCTCTCCAAACAAGAGGAGGTCATCTGCAAACATCACATGTGAAATTTTAAATCCCCCTCTACCTACCTGAAAGGGTTTCCAGTGACCCTCCTCCACAGCCCTTTCAATCGAGTAAGATAGAGTATTCATGCACAAAATGAATAGGTAGGGAGACAAGGGGTCACCTCGTCTTACCCCTCTTTGAGCTTTAGTCTACTCGGTAGGGCTTCCATTCAAAAGCACAACAAACTGTGTTGATCTAACACATGTCATGATGATATTCCTAATTTTTTGAGGGCAGTTGACTTCTTTTAAGACTTTTGCAAGGAAACTCCATTGCAGTTTGTCATAGGCTTTTTCAAAATTAATTTTAATGGCCATACTACCATTTTTACCTTTCTTTTTGGTCATGGTGTGGACAATTTCCTATGCAATGATTATATTATCAATTCCTTGCCTCCTCGGAACAAAACTGGCTTGCAATGGATGAATTAGCTCACTCAGTAAGGGTCTCAATCTATTGACAAGAATTTTGGCCAATACTTTGTAAGCTGTGTTACATAGACTGATGGGTCTATACTGGTTCAGGCTTTGTGGATTCTGGATCTTTGGGATGAGACACACGAGGGTTTTGGTAATATCAGCATTGATTAACTCTGTTTCAAAAACTTGCTCAATGAACCTTTTGACACCTTGTCCTACAATACTCCACTGTTTCTTGGTAGAAAACAGCATGAAACCCACCCGGCCCAGGTCCCTTCCTGGGTTTCAACTGCCATACAACATTTTTAATCTCAGTCATGTCAGGAGTTCTAATGAGGCTGCCTATGTCATTTTCATTAATGGAATTAATCACAGGCCAAACAAAATCATCATGAATATCCCTATGCTCATTCTATGGTGCAAAAATATTCCTAAAATGTTCAGCCACCATCATCCTAATGTCCCCTTGTTTTGTGACCAATTCACCCATTTCATTCATTAGTGCTAAAATTTTATACTTCCTTCTTCTTGCTAATGTAGATGTAGATGTATNAGTCCCAAACACAGTCTTTGGACGGCTTTGCCTCCTTCGATGATTCTATTAGTGGTATGTAATTTTATTTTAGAATGCTTGTGTGAAAGTTTTAATGAGTTATTTTATTAGGGATTGACTTCAATTTTTTCTTAGATTTCTATCAGGGAGTGGGTTCTTTACTTTCTATCAAAGGGCAGAGCCTATTATCATGGAATGCAGATGATAATTTCATAGGAGAGGATAAAGCAACTTCAAGTCGTGAAGTAAGTTGTTTATGATGTTTTATAATCTTTCATTTGATGGGTCTAAATTATGAAAATGGAAGGAATGTAAGAATCTAGAATACTAATGCAATATCGCCTACATACTTATTGGTTATCCACATCTTAGGATTTATCTGATTGCTCTAATGCAGCAAAGTGTACAAGGCCAAAATTTTGTGCTTATATGTTCTTCTGGTCATTTTGATTACAATCAGGCACCTTTTTTGCCTCCTTTTCTGGTTTGGTTTGTCATCACATCTGTGCAAAAATACAAGTAGTTTCTTCATTGTCTGTTACTTTTCTGCGAGTTCCATGGGTTGAATTTCTGTGTGATTTATGATANTGCCTCCTTTTCTGATTTGGTTTGTCATCACATCTGTGCAAAAATACAAGTAGTTTCTTTATTGTCTGTTACTTTTCTGCGAGTTCCATGGGTTGAATTTCTGTGTGATTTATGATAATAGAAATCTTTTATTAATTTATTAGTGTGAAGTTTACGGTGAAGAGGAAGGATGAAGATCCATCCTGAACGTCAGCTGCTGCGTAATAGAAGTTGGTCCAGGGTGATTGCTATTTCACACAATTCATTTGATATGACTAAATGGAAAATGCTTTTACTCATAGGATTAATGCGGGATGAATTAAATGGAGGGATACATTCGGTATATTGTGTGATAGATGCATACCCCTTAAGCTAAAATGAAAGTGCTATAGAATGACCATAAGATCCACTATGCTTTAGGGTCTTGAGTGTGNGCCTGGTGTTATGACTGTGGAGGTGATAATATTTAGCGGCTCTACCTAAGGCTTGTTGAGTGATTTTCCCCGTAGGTGTTGTTTTATTGAAAAACACCCACTAGTTTCAATGGTACCATATACTGGCACAAGTGTAAAGGAAAAGAGTTGTCCATGAAATATTTTTTTAGTGGGTAAGGTTGTTAGATATCCCATTTACTTTCATCCATGTTTCCAGTGACTCATTGAAGGTATGGAGGAGAGTGTTGGGAACCCAGTTTAGTCCAAATCCCTTTGGCTAGGTCACATTTCATCAGAACATGGCTTGTGTCCTCTATTTCTTGTTGGCAAATTGGGCATGTTTGGTCATTCACAACTTTACGGGTATACATCACACGTTTGGTAGCTAGTCTGTCTAGACAAGCTAGCCACAAAAAGTGTTGTATCCTTGGGCATGTTAATGTTTTCCAAATCCAACTCCATTGTGCCCTAGTTTAAACTCACTTGGATTATCCTGTGCTAGCTCATATGCTGACTTAGATTCAAGAATCCTTGAGGCCTTAGGTCCCCATGCCCATGTATCCTACCGCTCAAGGTGAACTTGGATGCGTGTGGCTTTAATTATTTCAGTTATTTCATGTGGTATAGGGTATGGTATACTCTCAAAATCCCATCCCCGTCCCTGATTAAGCTTATGTCTTACATACTGACACTCCTCCCCCTCTGGAAGTGGCCCCTGAAGCATTCTCCTAAGTCTATCTGTCCCAACCAATTATCAAACCAGAAACTTGTCGTTTGACCGTTGTGGACATTCCATTTAATTCCATTATAGAGGAGATTCCTCCCTTCTTTCATGCTTGACCAGACATAAGAATGGGTCTTCCTCTTTTCATTTCCCTCCCTATCTAGGTATTTAGCTTCAAGGGTTCTAGTCCACATTTTATCTCTGTCTTTTAGAAGTCTCCAATTGAGTTTGACCATGGCTACCTTGTTCCTCAACCCCACTTGTTTGAGTCCCAATCCCCCTGATTTTTTGGGTTTAGTCACCTGTCCCCAATTAACAAGAGGCATTTTCCTTCTTTCATCAGTTGACCCCCACAGAAAGTTACTATTCATTTTACTAAGCTCCTCACACTTTTTTTTGGAATTTTCATGGTTTGCATATAGTATTGTGGAATGGCAGAAGTCACAGAGTTAATCAAGGTTGCCCTTCCTGGAAGTGAAAGAAGTTTGGCTTTCCACCCACTCAGTTTGTTCCTAACTTTTTCAATAAGGTATTGGAAGTTTCTGGATGTGGGTTTTTTATGGAGCAGGGGTACACCTAGATACTTTCCTAGGTCATTTGTAGCAGGAATCCCTAAGATCTCAGTCCATCTTTGGACATCCTCTGGACCACAATTAGGTGAGAAATACACTCTAGACTTTTGGTCACTTATGCTTTGCCCTGATCTTCTACAAAATGCCTCAAGTGTCTCTTTAATACAATGGTAGTTCTCATCAGATGNTTTTTTTTGGAAATTTCATGGTTTGCATATAGTATTGTGGAATGGCAAAACTCAGAGAGTAAATCAAGGTTGCCCTTCCTGGAAGTAAAAGAAGTTTGGCTTTCCACCCATTCAGTTTATTCCTGACTTTTTCAGTTTGGAATTGGAAGTTTCAAACTCAAATATGACATTTCAAACTTAAATTATTCAAACACCGCAAATATATTAATAGTGATTGTGAATTAAATTGAAAAGCAAAATTTGTTTCAAATTTGTACCTTGAAATTTGGACAATGACAACAAATTTCATCATATTTGCCACTATCACTATCATTATCACTGTGACTAATTTTCATAGAATTTTGAAAGTGACCGTAATTTTTATTAGTTCACGTTACTGTTTAATTTTCGTAAAATTTTGATAGTAATTATAGTTATTATTGAGATCGTGTTGCTATCTAGTTTACGTTACTGTCTAGTTCCATAAAATTTTGATAGTAATAATAGACAATAACAAAAAAATTCTAGTTTTGTAAATTTTGGACAATGGCAATAAAAATTCACTATCGTTATAATTGTTATTATCTCAATATCACTTCATATGTTAATGTTACTAAATTTAGTATTATTGTTATTGTAATTTTTTTACTATTATTGTCCATTTTGTAATATAATTATTTTTGTTATTAAGGATAAATTAATATTTATAACTTTAATTATCCTTTTAAGTCCCAAAAAATATGTGCATTGACTAATTGACCTGTGGACCAGCCTCCAAGTATTCCAAGGCCGAGCCCAGAAGCCCTAACAACATGTTTGGTCGCTGAGAAAACTCTTTAAGACCGAAAAAGAAAATTGCACCTTGAGTTTCTGATTTCCGAAATTTCACTGGAGAATGGATGCAAAGGCTTTGGCGAAATCGAAGAGAGCTCATTCTCAGCATCATAGTAAGAAACATAATCCATATCAAGCATTCAAAGCTCCTTCAGCTGGGACTATCGGAGCGGCCTCGCCGTCCGGCAAGCAAGTTCGAGTCAAGTCCGACAGGTCTCAGGGTTCTAGCTTACTCCCCTCCAATTGGGATCGGTATGAGGAAGAGTTTAACGATTCAGGTTCTGAAAATCTATCCCAAGATAACCTGAGTAAAGCAACTGATGTTGTTTTGCCAAAGAGTAAAGGGGCAGATTATACTTACCTAATTTCTGAGGCCAAGGCTCAGTCCCAAACACAGTCTTTGGACGGCTTTGCCTCCTTCGATGATTCTATTAGTGGTATGTAATTTTATTTTAGAATGCTTGTGTGAAAGTTTTAATGAGTTATTTTATTAGGGATTGACTTCAATTTTTTCTTAGATTTCTATCAGGGAGTGGGTTCTTTACTTTCTATCAAAGGGCAGAGCCTATTATCATGGAATGCAGATGATAATTTCATAGGAGAGGATAAAGCAACTTCAAGTCGTGAAGTAAGTTGTTTATGATGTTTTATAATCTTTCATTTGATGGGTCTAAATTATGAAAATGGAAGGAATGTAAGAATCTAGAATACTAATGCAATATCGCCTACATACTTATTGGTTATCCACATCTTAGGATTTATCTGATTGCTCTAATGCAGCAAAGTGTACAAGGCCAAAATTTTGTGCTTATATGTTCTTCTGGTCATTTTGATTACAATCAGGCACCTTTTTTTGCCTCCTTTTCTGATTTGGTTTGTCATCACATCTGTGCAAAAATACAAGTAGTTTCTTTATTGTCTGTTACTTTTCTGCGAGTTCCATGGGTTGAATTTCTGTGTGATTTATGATAATAGAAATCTTTTATTAATTTATTAGTGTGAAGTTTACGGTGAAGAGGAAGGATGAAGATCCATCCTGAACGTCAGCTGCTGCGTAATAGAAGTTGGTCCAGGGTGATTGCTATTTCACACAATTCATTTGATATGACTAAATGGAAAATGCTTTTACTCATAGGATTAATGCGGGATGAATTAAATGGAGGGATACATTCGGTATATTGTGTGATAGATGCATACCCCTTAAGCTAAAATGAAAGTGCTATAGAATGACCATAAGATCCACTATGCTTTAGGGTCTTGAGTGTGGACAGTTAAGAAACAACACATTCAAAAATTGAGTGTGGCAGAAATGAGAATTTTAAAATAAATGTGTGGTAAAATTACGAATGATAGAATTATGAATGATTATATATGCGAAAAAGTAGAGTTAATACCTTTAGGAAATGATAATCGACTTGGATGATTTGGACATATGTATAGACGATCTACTGTGGCTCTGGTGGAAAGAGTGATGTGATAGTTACTGACATTAAGTGTAGCGGTAGAAGGTGAAAAATAACTTTAAATGAAATAGTAAAGAAAGATATAATAACTTTTGGTCTAATAGAAAACATGACCCCTTAATAGATCACAATGACAAAACAGTAATTCTTGTAACCGTCTCAAAAATGTTAGGATGAGACTTTGTTGAGTATGAGTTCATCTTGGATGAATTTACGTGACAAACATGGTTGCCAAATTAATCGTTGTGTTAGTGCAATATATGTAATTATTTAGTGCTTATTGGATTGGCATAAAGTGTGTTTGCAGCAGTGTGTCTTTTTGATTCTTTGGATGGGAAAAGGCTATACTCGGTCCATAAGACTTTTGCCTATGTTAGTGTTTGGGGGAGGTAAATGGTAGGCAACTTCCCCGCTTTAGAAGGGGCTGATTCAAACCACAGCTCCACTCCACCTGGTTGGAGGACTCAACTTGATTTGTTGAAGCAATACCTCTATATCTCTTATAGACCCAAGTAGTTGAAGAAAATCTTTCGGCACAAATCTCTATGATAGAATTTATGTCCTCTCTACAAGTTCACCAGGCTGGTGAAGGCTAGCACAAGCAATTACGCATAGTTCCATTCCAATTGAGAGTTTGCGAGCTATGGCGGGAATTCTATTTTCTTTCACATTTGGATGTGCAATGTATAAATTACAAAGGTGATTTTGGGTGAAGATTAATGTATTAAGTTAGAACTGTTTGCCATCTTGGGATGCTGCTATGCTATGGGAGCAATAAGTGACCAAGTGAACTACAAGTTTATATGGAGTGGAAATATGATTGTGGTCAAAATGGTCACATGCGAGGTTCCTATGAGAGGATTTTGGAAATTGGAGAGGTTTTTGAAGTTGTGGATTCAGAGGGTCGTATTCGTTATATTTTAGCGTCGAAATTGATAATTTGGTATGATGCTTGGGCAGCTGGCTACAAGCCAGGTGATCCATCAAATGACCAACGGGATACGTGGGGTAGAATTTCACTTGACAAATCCTGTATCCAATTTGGTTTCTGATTGCTATCTACTTTGTGAGGACGATAAAAGTTTGAAACGTTATGGACAAGAGAGAGGGACTTTTGTATGAGAGGTTGAGAATGTGGATAAAGTGTCTTTAACTCTTCTGTCTTTTAGGATCTCTCATATTTAGTCCAACAGCCCGAGCATTATTTGGACTGTTGTAAGGGAAAATGAGGATTTAAGAACTCTATAGTTTGGCAAAGTTAGAGTGTGTGGTTGTTAGANAAGCATTATTTGGACTGTTGTAAAGAAAAATGAGGATTTAAGAACTCTATAGTTTGGCAAAGTTAGAGTGTGTGGTTGTTAGATATGTTTAGGGGTTGGTTAATATGTATGCTTAAAGTAGTGTTGAGGTCGTTGACCACCTTTTCTTATGGCCTAATTAAATGTGATCGTTTTTTGAGTTTTTTTTTAATCTTGAGTGAAGTTTTTAGATGCTAGAATAGTGAGGGAATCTTTTGATGGATTTGTCAAGGCATTGAACAATTTTCTTGAAAATGAGTGTAACAATCAAATTTTTTGGATGCTGGCCCTTTCTAACTATGCCGGAGTGGAGCCAAGAAATCATTCTTTGGTGGGCACTTTAAAAAGCTTTAATTTTTTTTGGCCAATCGATAAAATTAAGCTGATACATTTATATCTATTGAAANTCAAGGCATTGAACAATTTTCTTGAAAATGAGTGTAACACTCAAATTTTTTGGATGCTGGCCCTTTCTAACTATGCCGGAGTGGAGCCAAGAAATCATTCTTTGGTGGGCACTTTAAAAATTTTTAATTTTTTTTGGCCAATCGATAAAATTAAGCTGATACATTTATATCTATTGAAATCATATTTGATGCTTAAAAATATTCAACATAATAGGGTACAACGGGTATACATAATACATTGTGTGTACAAACAAAACAAAATTAAAAAAAAAAAGATTAATTTTAAAGTTTTTCAAAAAAAATTGTGGTTAATTATAATTGTTTTNCAAAATAAAAAAGATTAATTTTAAAGTTTTTCAAAAAAAATTGTGGTTAATTATAATTGTTTTTAATCAACTCCAATTGGTTTTCATCATTCGAAAATGTTGCATGATAACTTTATTATAAATACCATTGAGAATAAACTTTTTTTATAAATAACTATATTGTCAGTCATACTTTTATCATCCATTCAGTTAAGCAATCAAGTTTTCATAATTTACGTAGTTGAAAATGCTCTGTTTATAATGACAATCCCAACCAATAAAGTTAGTATCAATGTCACAAGTATGTAAACTCATGAAGATACCATGTCTGTTTTAGTCTTTAAAATTTTTTGAGTAAGAACACCAATTAGTACTAGGTTTGAAAACTCAATACATAGTGAATATTAATAATACAACTGGGAAGTTGTTTTAAAGTTTCAATTATCTAATATCATAATGCTCAAATAAAGGTAACTCACATCTCGCTTTAGAGAAGCATAGTTGCTTTGAAGGTCAAAGAGTTGTTGATTGTTTCTCTCTCTCTCTCTCTAATCTAGTGAGAATAAGCTCATCAGATAAACTTATTTTATTTAACTTCACACAATTTTATTTTATAAGGTTTTGTGACTTTGATTTTTTTATATATTTACAAAAATGATCCATATTTCATTACACAATAACCCTAGGTTTTTTTACAATAAGAAAATAATGATATATTTTTCAAAAAAATTACAGACTTACCCTACTATCTCCAAAACTTAACCGAACGTGTTCAAAGTATGCTTGAAAGCTAAGTATCATTACTTAGTTATGGATTTATTCTAATGGATATCATAGGAAAACATTGGGTTGACTCCTTAAATGTGTTTGAAAATATTTAAAACTTATATAAGTAATGTTAAGGAAGAAATTGTAAGGGTGAGCATGTGCCCCCACCCGGTACTTTTTTTAATATGCGGTACGATGAGGGTAGACTTAAATAGTATGTTGTTTTGGGTTGTCTTGCATTTTCTATTGGATTTCTCTTTAATCTTTATTATATGATATTATATATGATTATACATTTATATACACACAGTTAACTAATATTTATTTTGGGTTTGGATTACAATTTGGGGTTGTGAATTAAAGCAATCTGGATCGTGGGTTCACCCTGTCTCAGGTTGTGGAACCCCAGTTCGTGAGATGGTAGAGGTGTCTACGATCCAAATATCTATGGACTTTTACCCCTTTCTTGTTGTACGATATATTATGGTTTTGATATCCTCACTCATCAAAAGCTTAACTCAAGGGGTAAGGAATCAAGAGATATTACTAGGAGTGAGGGGGCTATGATGTTTGCCTAAACTTTGCGGGTCTTTGCTCTGTGAATCACCCACCTTTCAATGTAGCCATTATGATGGATGTTCTTAGGAGATAGTGTGAAGATTTAAGATATGGTAATTTTGTTTCTATGTTTGTGAGCATACAAAAATGTAGGGGATGGAGAGTGCAAAGTTATTTTTCATTAAGACTTAGAAATTAATTTATTTACAGTTTAGAAATGTCCCTTTCTGTAATTGGTAGTACGGCATTATCAACATTCGCTGCCAAGGTTCCTAGGTGTAAACGAAGTGTCAAGGATAAAATTGATCTTTTAATTGGTGTGTCATGGCAACAAGAAAAGGAGTCAAGATTGAACATGCCAAGCTGTCAAAATTCTTTTTCTTGCAATTCGATTTGAAGATTCATATTGAAATTTGGTTTTCCTATATTGGAATATGTAGGCATAAGATATAGGTCTTGGATTTAATTTGGGTTGCTAAACACATAATAAAAAGGCATAATTAGCAGGGACGGGAAGATGTATTGACCATTTTGTGTAGGCAAAGCCTCGACTGATTTGTTGTATCCCCTAAGTTGATGTTTAGAATTGAAGAGGTGGAGCAGATTATGATCCCATTGAAGATTTGGTCAAGTAATTTAGTGTCTTATTCCGTTCATCCTTTTTGCTTTTGATGTGCTTTATTTCAAAATAAGCATTGGATTTGGTGTTTGAAAAACATGTAGCAATCACATATTTATCGGAAGAATTTTATGAGACAGTTTTTTCTAAGAACAATTGAAAACATGGAAATGAAGTCTGTATGGTGTACATACATCTGAGTAATTCATGGTATCATAAGCATGTTTTTACAAAGCCGTGGGGTGGGGGGGGGATATTACTTATGTCTTGTGTCATGACCTCGTTTTTCACATGATTTATTAAATTAAAACATATAAATGAGAGTTGTTTATAGGGTCTTCTAATTTTGTCAAGATGGTTGAAGGGTGTTCAACACCCCTATGCTGTCATTGCATGCTAGAAAAGCAAAAGGTAAACTTAAGGGAGTTTTAGTTGGTGGACATTCTTTTGCATTAACATTATTTCTTTTCAATTGGTCTCGACAAGAGAAAATTGGAAGACAGCGGTATGAGATGCATGACCGCCAAGACCCAATAATTTCATGTAGGTCCTTGTGAAATTATGTAATTATGAATATTGATAATCCTGGGCAAATAAGGGGCCAGCAATTTGAAATGCGTTGTGGCCGACCATTCCTGATAACATCTTGTAGGGTCAGGAATATTTATTTTGATTTTTCGGTACTCGTTGTTCAAAGCCTTTAATGTTGACCGAGTTATAACAGTATGTTAATGCTGCAGCATACAAATGTGTCGTGCATCCAGTTAAGAGTGATTTTTTATATTCAAGCTTTGGTTGACCCGTTCTTTTTAGAAGGATTTACAAAGAGTAATGACAACTATTTGGAATACTATCATGAAGTTGGAAGTACGGAAGATTTATAGTGACTTATCATCATAACGTAACTATGATTATCATGATAGTTATAGTGGATAAAGCTATAGTTGAAGCTTTTTTAAGATAGATTTGCAAGTTACCATTTTGTGTGAATGTTGGTTCAGTTCTAATGATAGAGCCATAGTGAGGGTAGAACTGAAGGGCACCTGCCTCTATTGCAATTTTGAAAAGTTCCAGGGTCTATTTGAAATTTTGAAAATATTTTTAAAATATTAGAACTTGCTCCCAACCTCTCACTCAGAAGTTTCTGAAAAATTTAATGGTAGTTTTACATTTTAGAAATTTGGGATTCTTTTTGAAGTAAAATATCTGGAATTTGTCAGTTATGGATTATGTTTTGGGTTAAATTGCTTCAATTGGTTAGACTTGAACAGTTTGCTTGTGGCAGATTAAATCATTCTTTGTTTCTTATTAGGTCTTATGGATGATTATACAACATTTTTGGGTAGATAAACTATATCTATTTTGCAAAGAAAGATCTTACAATATAGCTCAAGGCACTCCCAAATGGGTACACACTCCAGTAGGGCCCAACAGAGTCTAATTCATCAAAGAGTATCTTACCGCACCCTGACAATAGGAATTTTTATGTGAGCCTTTTTTACTAGCACTTTTTGTGTATTTTGCTTGTGTATTTCAATTACCAATTGGCATTCTTTTAATGAAACTGAACTTAATAAAAATTAAAGAAATGTATTTATTAATGAATTTTAGGTTGCCCCCCACTAAATCCTAGTTTCGTACCTGCTCACTTCTATGTTATTTTCTTATTGTCACAGACATCATTTCTCTCTCTCAATCTGCATGCCCTCGCCAAACAACTTGCAAAATCTGATGTATCACAAAGGCTTTTTATTGAAGCAGATCTATTACCACCAGAGCTGGTACGTATAATATTTTTATTGGGGTAAATTGGAATTACACTGCCTCTTGATGATTGCATTATCATATCACATTTAGAAGACAAGAGCATTCTTCTCTTAGTTATAGAGGTGTATCTTTCTTCATATTACTTATTACTATAGTAAATATTTCACCTGTCTTGGAAAGTTAATTTGACTGGTGTAGCGTGAATCTTGACTGCACTTGATTTTGTTTTTCAACTTAGAGGTCTGCTGAGCATTTGTTCATTCTCCCAATGGACGTAACAAATATGCCATAAGGAGATTATTTGAACAATAGATGACGAAACTTGAGTATGCTGGCTTTTGGCTTCGTTGTAGGTTTTTACTGAATTGTGTGCGTGCTGTGACAGCAAAATATCGGATGCCTAACTCCAAACGGAACATGCATAGCTGGATTGACAACTTTTTGGACAGTTAACCATTATCTTCCTGAGACCACATAACTGGAATCTAAATTTTCCTTGATGGAAGTAATTTGTTTGAAATTTGGTTCCCTAGTATAAATAAAAGATATCAGAAAAGATGTAGTGCTTGTATGTGTACCATTTGTTTTTTTTCTCTTTTTGTTCTTGGTTTTATTTCGTCCAGTTTCCTTTTTGTTTTCTAGATTGATTGATAATGAACCACAAATCTTGAAAAATATCCCACTGATCATTCACAGCACCTTCAGTTTTTAATGAGCTTTTTTATCAGGGAATATATTTATGGAGAAGGTTAACATAGAGATTCTTTGTGTTTGTGTTTGTCTTGTTTTTTGATATCATCAGCTAGTTTCATGTTTACATGTGGCAGTGCATTGAGTTACGAGCAAGCAGCGATCAGGAATCTGGCCAGGGTCAAGCTCCAAGTACGAGGTATATGGATGAGAAAGATTCTGATTCCTTAGTGTCACATGGTGTTTCTGAAGGAGATAAGTACACTGATCAAGGCACCACAACCACCACCAGCCATCCATTTCCTGCTTATGCCAGTGAAGGGTCAAAGTCCATAAATCAGGTTAAGGATGAAGTCCAGCATTTTGGCTGTACTAGTCAAAGCATTTTCTCGGAGTCTACAGCAGAACTCAATGTAGATTCTATTGCCAACCCTGCGAAGAAACCATCTAGATTTGAGGCAGCAGCTGCAGAAGCAGAGCTTGACATGCTTCTTGACTCATTTAGTGGAGCAAAGTTTCTTGATTCCCATGACGTCACGGAGAAGTCCGGTCACACATCTTATTTGTCACCAGGAGAAACCTCAACTTCGTTGTTGGAAGGAATTTCATCTGTTCGGTTGGTTCCTGCTGAACCAGTGAAGAAAGGCCCAGATTTATCTAGTTCTGCACTGATATCTGCCAATCTGGATGATACCATTGATGACCTACTCAAGCAAACATCCAGTCTAATAAACCAAAATAGTCCATCACAGTCTAGTGAGGTAAAGGCTGCCCCTTCTGATGTCCTATCTTCCTCTTCCTTGCACCCTGCTTCCAAGTCTAAACTTTTGGATGATTTTGATTCATGGTTGGATACGATTTGACTGCCCATCAACTAAAATCCACATAATGCATAATTGTTGTCCTTTTCCTTGTTTGAGGATGCATTTTCAGTTCCTTTGACCTTATGACATTGTGCTGGTTCAGTGGCATGACCATTTAAGAAATGTCGAATTGTCATGGTTAGCACCATGCAAGATACCAACTCATATTGAAACCCAGTCTAAAAGGAGAGAATTATATTTACATTGATTACCTTAATTTGGTCATAGATAGCTGATATAACGTAAGATCTATAACTGTGGGTTAAATTCAGTTAGATTCTTATTCCATTAATTCACCGTAGGTACATATTCTTTCACTGATGGCACTTAAATTGTTTTTTTTTTTTTTTTTTTTAAAAAAATGATGATACACAATACCGTTCCCTGCACCAAACAAAACCTAGGAAATCCTTAAGTTTTTTCAATGGAGAGCTAAGACCCGAAATGGAAAGGATGTCCAGACTGATTTAGTATCCAATCTGCAGAGTAGGAACAATTACTGCCTGATTGTATATGTTTGTTTTATTGGTCATAGGGTGTTGGGTGAGGATTTTATGAAATTTAGTTATATGTCTAACGAGGGCATTCCAAATTATTGGATAGTGAGCTTTAGAACTTAATATAGACTTCAGTATACAATACTCCAAAGATCACTCTAGTGCCGTTTAGTAACTTTTTTTTGGAGTTTTTTTAATCAATAAAGATTTTTTTTCAAAAAATGGGAAAGAACATTATAAATTGTAACCTAAGTTTGTGGTCACGATGTTTCAAAGATTAAGATCCGAAAGCTTCAAATAAGAAAGAAGTTTAAGCTGTAGAGCCGGATCAAGAACATCTTTCATGAACCTTCAAAATTAAGAAAGGTAATAACCTAAATTCCTAAGACCCTTGGTTTTTATACTTTGGCTCATTAGGTTTAATAATCGAATTTAGGATAATCTTAAAATGATTCTTAGGCTTTTTAATGAAAATATTTTCTAAATATTGAAACTTGTTTTGAAAACATAGTTGGAGTCATGTATTGGATCCTATCTGAGCAATATTCTTTAGTGTTCAAAAAGACAAATATGTTTATTATTTATTATTTTTTATTATTATGTGCTTTCAAGCACGGGGAATAACTAGTACTTCTATGTGTGCATTTGTATATCACTAGACGTGAATAAGCTTGGAGGATAAAATTTGGAGAAGGTAAAAAAAAAATGCAAAAATAAACTTTAGTTAATTTAAAAACTCAAAAAAAAAAAAAAAAAAAAAAAAGAAGCGAAGACAGAAAACAAAAAAAGGGTACTTGAAATCGAACAATCCGGAACCTAACCAGGGTCCATTCATATTGAACTTGTTGCAAGGTTGGTGACTTATTCAGACGTTAGCAGTTGGGTGAAATTTTCTTTTTGGATGATTATACTAACACTTCCTATGGTGTCTAGTTGTAGCAAGGGGTATCCTTCTTGTTATTGAAATGAAACTGCATCGCTGTTAAAGAATGTTGGGTAATTATTAGGGCCGAATGGGTCATGTCAAGCTCGTCTTGTGTTTGATTTGTGCAGTGTCAAAATTTGTGCCATGTATAAGTTGAGTAAAAGTCATTTATAGTAGGTTTGCGCCATAATTAGCTTTGTTTTTATCGACAGATTTGAATGATGGGTTCTATAGTCTACATCTTTACCATCCGAAACCATTAAAGCTAAACTTACCCGTTAAGACTAAATTCAACATATTAATTGCGAACTGAGTTTGTTGGTCGTGTCTAAAATTGACGGATCAAGTAATGATGTTGGAAAGAAAATTTTCAGGTTTTCCTTCTCTCCTTACTTAAGCAAATATAGATCGACGTTCCTATACTCCCCAATTAACTGATGGTGCAACTTTGTCGATAAAGGGAAAATTACACCCAGTTCTTTTAAGATTTGTCATTTAATCACTTCAACATTTTAATATTTAAAATATTATATTCAAATTCCCTGAAATTTATACTTGCGTAGCACTTAGACTTCTGGCATCAATATTAATTAATATAATAGTTAGTAAATTATAATTAGACCCCTTGAAGTTTGTAGTATATAATAGTTAGNTTTGCGTAGCGCTTAGACTTCTGTCATCAATATTAATTAATATAATAGTTAGTAAATTATAATTAGACCCCTTGAAGTTTGTAGTATATAATAGTTAGATCCCTTAAGTTTAAAATATTATATTTAACCAAAAAATACTCTAATTAAAAATAAAATATCAAATATTTTAAATTTTACAACTAAAATTCATATTCTATTGTATCATTTATTGAAATAAAATCAAAAATAAAAATCTAATTTTTTTAAAAAAAATTATAGGATTAATTGTAAATTACACCCCAAAAGATTGTTCGAATCTCAATTTTTTAACAATTATATTGACAGATATCAATGCAAAGGAATTAGGTGTTATACGTGCACAAGCGTCATGAAATGTAAAAGTAATATTATAAATGTGAAGGGGTCCAAATGATTCAGTTATAAGCATGAGGGGATCTAGGTATAATTTATCAATTTAGTTTTAGGTAGCAAACCGACGGTGGTTAGTTTTAGGTGCATATTAATTAAATAACAATTAATTACAGTGGTTAGTTTAAGAAAAAAATTAGATTTTTATTTTTGATTTTAATTCAATAAACGACATAATAGAATATAAATTTTGGTTGTAAAATTTAAAATATTTGATATTCTATTTTTGATTAAAATATTTTTTATATAAGTATAACAGTTCAAAATTAAATTAGAATATGAATTTTGGTTGTAAAATTAAAATATTTGATATTCTATTTTAAGTGTTACACGCTTACAAATTTTAGAGGATCTATGTGTAATTTACTAACAAATATACTAACTGACGGTAAGAATCTTAGTGTTACGTGCATATAAACTTTAAGAGGCCTATGTGTAATATTTTAAATATTAAAGGGTGTGAGTGATTAAGTGATAAACCTCGATAATCTAAATATAATTCTCCAAAAAAAAAAAGGGAAGAACCTCTCATCTCCATCTCCATCTCCCTCTTCCTCTCTCTACGAATCAACACCACTATCCTAAACACCATTCTCACAATCGCCATGAAGATCAAATCACTATCATCAGTCAACACCGACAACCCTTCCATAACGATACCATCACCCACCACACGACTATTCACCACCTGTTGCCACCATTAGTGGGCGCACACTGGACCACATGGATGACACTACTTTAAGATCAAAATTAACCCATTTTTGACAATTTTGATTTCTCCAAAGACTCATTTCTCCATCCTTTACCAAATGACAACTAAGAGGGAGAGAAATAACCCCTGTTTTTAGTAGCAAATGGTGGTTTTCCTGATTAGATCCCCTCCGTTCCTCATTTCTTTCAATTTTTCTCAATATAATACTAAATGAGTGATATGTGTAAAATTTTGAATTTCAATAAATAAGACTAGACATTACTTGTGTCTGAATGCACTTTGTAACAAATAAAAAAATCTTAAACAACTATCCAAATTTAAAAGGAATGACATAAAAATAGTCATACAAATTCATCTTCTAAAATGACTCGAAATATATCACTCATCATACCCTCCATATTAATAGAACTGTTATAAAATATATAAAAAAAATCCTCAAAACAACACCATATATACAAACGCCTCAAAAAAAATACTAACATAACTCATTGAAATTTACAATTTTCAAGCAATAAATAAAATATTGCTCATATATAAGACTCACAAACTTATCAAATCTATCCCACTCAATCCAATAATATAACATAATTATAAACTTAACCACCATATTCCTCATGTAATAAATATCTTTAAAAAAAATACTTACAGAACAAAATTAAATTCACATTCTTTAAACAATAAATAAAATCAACCAAATTTTGCTAATTTATAAAACTCATGAATTTATCACCACTCTCACTATTTAACCCCCAAATAGCACAATATAATTATAAATTTAATTATCAAATGTCCAAGTCTCCACATATTAATATACATAGAAATACACTCTCACACATTTTTTTTTTACTACCAACAAACTTTCCTAACTAACAACCGTTTTTATTAGAAATACAATAATTCAAAATTTTAAGATAAAATAATATCTAATTAAAACAAAAAGGATAAAAAATACCGACATCTCCTGAGTTTTGACAATATTATACGGACACCTTCTGATATTTTATAAATAACACGGAGACTCCTTGAGGTTTGAAATTTATTGCACGGAGACTCTCTCTGTCTCCCTTCCGTCAATGTTACTAACGAAAAGTGATCATTTCATCTCAAATTTTTTTATTATTTTTACAATTGTCTTTCTCCAACTTTAGTACCCAAAAAAAATTAAAAAATTAATAAAACAAAATAATATTTGATTTAGTACCCAAAAAAAGGATATAATTTAGTACCCCAAAAAATTGATTAACTGAATTTTAATATTAATTTGATAACAATAAAAATTAATTTGATATTAATTCGACAAAGTTGAATATAAATTGGACAAAATTAAATGTCAATTTTTGATAAAATTATATATTAATTTACAATCTAATGTTCATTTCGTTTTAAATATTATTTGATGTTGATTAAACAAACATGAAATTGACCTTAAATTATAAATTTTTTTGTTGTATATAAACTTAAAAATTTATATTTTAACTCATAAAATTTAAGTACATTTTTTTTATAGCATAACGTCTTTCCTCTTAATATATCATTTGAAAAAAAAAAAAATTTGGGTCAAGATTCAACCACACATCTATATAATAAAATAGTTAGAAAAGTTTGTTTTGAGTTTTTCACGATTTAGATTACTTGATGATTATTAATCCAACGGTCCTCATGCAAAATTTATTCTAAGACTTCTATCTTTCATGTAAGTCTATATATATATATATCTTATATACTCTCTATCTCCCATACTAGTGTCTTTTTTTTTTTTTTGTTTTTCCTATGTTATTTTTTATATTATTTACTCTATCGTTTCA